AGACCATAGTGGCAGGGTCACTCCTCTGGGAGCTGCCCCTTCCCCCCCCAGATGCCCCTCCCCCACTCACGACCCAGCTTTACCTCTGGGGGGTTGGGAAGAGATTCCTGGTGTCCCTGTGCCGGAGCCCCTGACACGCCCTGTCCCCGCAGCCATCTACCTGTTGTACGCCAAGCTGGAGGAGGAGTTCGGGCTGGCGCGCCACGCCATGGCGGTGTACGAGCGGGCCACGCGGGCCGTGCAGCCCTCCGAGCAATACGAGATGTACAACATCCAGCTTTACCTCTGGGGGGTTGGGAAGAGATTCCTGGTGTCCCTGTGCCGGAGCCCCTGACACGCCCTGTCCCCGCAGCCATCTACCTGTTGTACGCCAAGCTGGAGGAGGAGTTCGGGCTGGCGCGCCACGCCATGGCGGTGTACGAGCGGGCCACGCGGGCCGTGCAGCCCTCCGAGCAATACGAGATGTACAACATCTACATCAAGCGGGCGGCTGAGATCTACGGAGTCACCCACACCCGCAGCATCTATGAGAAGGCCATTGAGGTGAGGGAGCAGGGCTGGCGGAGGTCCCCTCACGTGGGCCTGGAGCAGTGCCCCACCCCTCCGTGCCAGTGTGTTGGGCTGGCCTGGGTCCCCTCCCGTCAGTCAGTAGCGCAAACCCCTCCAGCCTCCTGTGCCAGAGCACCAGCCTGCAGGCAGCACATGGGGGTCTGGGCTGCATGGCGTCCTGCCTCCCCCTCGCAGGGCCTTCAGGGGAGCGTTGACCATCACCCTGCAAAGGAGTGCTCTGTGCTCCTCTCAGGGCAGGGGGAGGGAAATGAGCCCCTGGGGCCAGCGGTGGGGACATGGGGAGGAGGGAGGAGGCTGGGCAGTAGTGGGGGGCGCAGTGCAGTGGTGGGGGTGGGTGGGAAGCTGGGACCAGCGGTGGGGGATGCAGTGCAGCGACGGGGGTAATGGGGGCACAGTGCAGCAGTGGGGGTCGGTGGGTAGCTGGGGCCAGCGGTGGGGGATGCAGTGCAGCGACGGGGGTAATGGGGGCACAGTGCAGCAGTGGGGGTCGGTGGGTAGCTGGGGCCAGCGGTGGGGGATGCAGTGCAGCGACGGGGGTAATGGGGGCACAGTGCAGCAGTGGGGGTCGGTGGGTAGCTGGGGCCAGCGGTGGGGGATGCAGTGCAGCGACGGGGGTAATGGGGGCACAGTGCAGCAGTGGGGGTCGGTGGGTAGCTGGGGCCAGCGGTGGGGGATGCAGTGCAGCGACGGGGGTAATGGGGGCACAGTGCAGCAGTGGGGGTCGGTGGGTAGCTGGGGCCAGCGGTGGGGGATGCAGTGCAGCGACGGGGGTAATGGGGGCACAGTGCAGCAGTGGGGGTCGGTGGGTAGCTGGGGCCAGCGGTGGGGGATGCAGTGCAGCGACGGGGGTAATGGGGGCACAGTGCAGCAGTGGGGGTCGGTGGGTAGCTGGGGCCAGCGGTGGGGGATGCAGTGCAGCGACGGGGGTAATGGGGGCACAGTGCAGCAGTGGGGGTCGGTGGGTTATGGGGCTCTCTCTCTCTCTCTCATTCTCACCACCAGGTGCTGTCGGACGAACATGCCCGGGAGATGTGCCAGCGCTTTGCCGACATGGAGTGCAAGTTGGGCGAGATTGACCGGGCCCGGGCCATCTACTCCTACTGCTCGCAAATCTGCGACCCCCGGGTGAGGGCCCAGGGTGAACCTGGGGACAGGGCTACAGAGGCCCGGGGGTGGGGTTGTTCCCAGGAAAGGAAGTGACTAGTTGCTTCCCCCCCACTTGCTGCCTCTGTCTGATAAAAGAGGGGGAAGAGGCGGGGTGCTGGGGGGGGCCGGCTTAACAGCTGCTTCCCCCAGCCCCGTGGGAGGGGGCAGGGACGCGGCGGTGGCGTTCCACCCCAGACATGTACAATTTGTACAGTTCAAAGCGGTAACTGCGCATGGAGCCTGGGCCGGCTGGGAACTCTGCCTGGGGCCTTGCAAGGGCCCTGCTGGCCCAGGCTCCACGCAGCGTTTCAGGCTTTGAAAGGCGCAGGAGTCCCCTCTGGTACATTTCAAAGCAGAAACAAAATTCCATTGACTGTTCAGTTAGTTGATTGATCTCATGTTAACGTCCCTCCTGGGCCCTGCTGGAGGCTCAGTTGCCTTGGAGGAAGCTGGGAGATGGACCAGGGCCACCCTCACTCCTGGGGCCGGGGCCTTGGGCTCTCCCGCTGTGAGGGGGATGCAGTGGTGCTGGCCATGGGCCCCCAGGTTCCCCACCATAGCGCCTGCCAATCTGACCAGTGCTGGGTTGGGGGGGGCCTTGCTTTGCCTGCAGGGACCTGGAGCCCTGGCTGAGTGGGTTTGCTGTGATATCAATGGGTGTCTGCCCACGGCCCCGCTCTGGCACAGCTGCTGCATCCCAAAGCCTGGCTCTCTAGGGGCCGGGTGTCTCTTGCAGCCCGTGGACTCGGAAGGGTCCTGTAACAGCTTGAGCCCAAGGCTTGCCATGGGGAAGACGGTCTCTGGGCGAGGTGGGGCTGAGGCCTGTCAGGGAGCGGTTATTGAAGGGAGGGCTTGGGGTGATGGGGTGGGCACCCCAAGACTGACTCACCCCTCTCCCAGACCACAGGCTCCTTCTGGCAGACGTGGAAGGACTTTGAGATCCGGCATGGGAACGAGGACACGATCCGGGAGATGCTGCGCATCAAACGCAGTGTCCAGGCCACTTACAACACCCAGGTCAACTTCATGGCCTCGCAGATGCTCAAGGTCTCTAGCAACGCTACAGGCACTGGTGAGCAGCCCCCGGCCCCTGTGGTGGGAGTCTGGGGGGCAGCTGCCCCCTCGGGCTCCGGGCGCTCACTCCGCTGTCTGGTTCCAGTGTCAGACCTGGCGCCGGGGCAGAGTGGCATGGATGACATGAAGCTGCTGGAGCAGCGGGCGGAGCAGCTGGCAGCTGAGGCAGAGCGGGACAAGCCCCGGGCCAAGGAGAAGATCCTCTTTGTCAGGTCTGTGCACACAGGGCAGCTGGTGGAACTACACATCCCAGCATGCAGCTGGCCTCACTGCGTGCTGGGGCTTGGTTCCCTTGCCCTTAGAGCCAGTCAGCCCTGTACCTGGGTTCTCTAAGTTGCAGGAGGCTGTCGGCTGCACGCACAGTGCGGCTGGGGCTGGGGAGGGGGTGCGCTGCTCTGGCCCTAGCAGCAGGGGTTTGAGACGGCAGCCCATAAAGCCCCCGTGTTCTGGGCAGCTCTAGAGCGGCAGGAAGCTCTGTCCCCATAGCTCCCATTGGCTGCAGTTCCCGGCCAATGAGAGTTCAGGAGGCAGTGCCTGCAGGTGAGTATGGGCTCGGTGGAGCCCCCTCTCCCACCCCGCCCCCTAAGGCTACACCTAGACTGCAAGAGGAAATGCAAATGGAGCGCTCATTTGCATATCCCCTTTGGATCCCTTTGGTGCAAGGGGTCCTTGTGCAGAAAAGCTCTGGGTAGAGGGCGGCGTCCAGCCCCTCCTTATTGGTGCACCAGCAAAACTCCTTGTGTACATGGACATGACACAGTGGGGAGCACTGCCTGTAACCCCTCCTGCCCTGCCCCGTTCGCCACTGGCTGGGGTTGGCACCCTGGGGAGCAGTGGCTGGATGGGGGCAGGAACGGTGGGGACCCAGAACTGTATCCGGAGCAGCTGCCCTCAGGCCTCCTCCCTGGCTCCGGGGTGATAGTAGAGGGGCCTGGTCCCTTGCTTACCCCCCGCCTGCGGTGTCTTGGCAGGAGCGACGTGTCCCGCAGCGAGCTGGCCGCGCTCTCCAGGCAGGCAAACCCTGACGAGATCGACATTGACGAGGAGGAGGAGGAGGGGACTGGGAGCGAGGAGAATGAACCCGATGGTAAGGGGCTAGGGCACTGCCCACTGGGCAAGGCAGAGCTGGGCCTCCCTCGGCCATTGGCCCAGCACTGACCCCCCTGCTTCTCCTTGCAGAGGTGCAGCTGGAGCAGCAGAGCGTCCCCTCGGCTGTCTTCGGGGGGCTGAAGGCCGACTGAGGAGCCTGGGCCCCATGCTGGAGTGGGCAGCAGCTTGTGGCTACTCTGGATCCTGTTTCACACCTGGACCATGGGCAGAGGGTGTGGCCTGGGCCCAGGCTGCTGAGCTGTGTCCTAGACCTAGAGCTGGGGGTGAGGGCCCATCCCCATGGGGCTGGCTGGAGCCATGTCCCCCCTGCCCGAGTGCAGGAGCCATAAGGCCCTGGCTGTGGGGGCAGGAATGGGAGGACCCTGCCTGCTGGGCACCATGGAGGGGGTGGAGTCAGCTCTGCAGGGCTCTTCCATTGCTGCCCCCCCCCTGCAGTGCACAGGCCTGGGGGTGATGCCAACTGGTGCTGGGCTTGGGGTCCTGTGAGCCCCTCCCCCCTCAAGCACTCTGGGAGCCAGGCTTGGGCAGCAGGGAGGGAAGGTGCAGGCAGAGCCCTGGGGGGCCAGGGCTGGGCCCTGCTGCAGCTAGTCCTGGCTGGGGAGGGCCCTGCCTGCTGGAGGGTGGGGGGCAGAGGCACTGGGCTGCTGCTTGGGACATGGTGTTTTACTATAAAGCGGTTTCTCTCACCCTGGCTGGGCTCTCTGTGCTTGGGGAGGGGACAGGGCCAGCTCCGGGCGCCCCTGGACAAAGGAGCTGTGCCTGCCTGGCCATGCAAACAAGCCGGCCCAGGGTAGGGGCCAGGCGCTCTGGCTGCCCCTGCTGGGGAGAGTGTTCAAGTTAAACAGGCTGGGCATGGGCCAGGCCTGCAGGAGGGTAATGTGCATGCACAAGGGGGCAGTCACAGCAGGCCAAGTGCCCTGCCCCTCCCTCCCCTGCACCTGTGGGGCTGGGGCTCAGCTTGTCCATCAAAACCACAGGGGCTAATGCCATTTGGGATTCAGTGAAACCAGCCTGTGCTGCAGCCTGGGGCCCTGATTCCCAGGGTTGCTGCTGACACTCCGCCCCTCCTGCTCTTCCAAGGAACCAGGCACAGGCAGAAGCTCCTTTAAGTTACTTTATTCAGTGGCATTGTCAGGTGCCCCCTGGGCATGGAGGCAACAGGCTCTACCCTCCATCAGCAAGGCAGCAGGGGTGGGGGGGCAGCCCCAGCTCTTGTTCAGGTGCCAGCCAGCCAGCCACCCCCCCGGGAAGGGACAGGGCTGGCAGAGAGACCACCCTGGCCTCCTCTGGCACCCCAAGTGGGCAGTGGGAGTCCTGCTCCCTGTGGAAGCTGCCAGGGCTTATAACCCAGCTGCCTCAGTCCCCCAGAGGCCAGCTCCCTTCCCACCCCACCCCCAGGGCCCGACCTGAGCCCAGCACCCCTGCTGCTGGGGCAGGAGTCTGACAATTCAACTGTGGCAGAAGCTCAGAAGATACAAAAGAGACAAGACATGGAGAGACAGACACCCTGATGGACAGACAGCCCCCCACCAACCCCCACTTGTTTATCAAATGCAATTCACTTTATATACAAATCATTGCAAAATCATTTAAATAGCTCAATCTCTGTATAGTTATGTATAATATACACGGCCAGGGGGCCAGGCCCCTGGCCGAGACCCACCCTGGGGGCAGGGTCTGACATTCAGATGGTTGGGGGCCAGGGTAGCCAGCCCCTCCCCTCAGAGGGTGGGGGCAGGGCCTCTGTGCCCTTTGACCCCATAGCTGCTTAAAGGATTGGGCAGTTCAGGCTCAGCCCCTCGGGCACAGAACATCCTGCTACGTAGAAGCTCAGAGGTTTGGGCTCCCTGCCCAGAGGGGTTACTTAGGGGTGCCTGGCTTCTTAGGGGTGCCCGGCTTCTTGGTCTGCCAGAAGTGGCCCTGGATGGTGATGGCGTCCACGCTCATGGACATGGTCTTGGTGGGGATCTGGGTGAAGCGCTTGCGGTCTGAGTTGTACTTGTAGATGCCCTCGATCATGGCCCAGCTGATGGTGCGGGGGCCGTAGCCCGTGAGACGCGTCAGCTCCTCTGTCTCCTCTGCTGGCGTGTACAGCGCCCGGAACTGGCAGCTGGAGTCTCGGAACAGGATCAAGAAGTGATGGGCCTTGCTCTTCTCCATCTCCTGGGGGAAGGGGAGGAGGGGAAGGGGTTAGACTCAGCCCCATTTGGTGCCCACAGTGCTAGTGCTAGGGCCTCTGGCCCATCCCAGGCAGCTTTCCCCCCCCCCACTCACCTCCAGGATCTTGTTCTTATGGGGCTCATTGACCCGGCCAGCCAGGCAGCAGTGGGACAGCGCGTTGTGGATGATGTGCTTGTTGGACTTGGCACTCGGCTCTTTGTACAGCTTGGGCCCTGCCAGAGGAGTGGGGGTTAGAGCTGGATCCAGGGACGGGGCCCTTACCGGGGCCCCGCTGGACAAGGGATCAGCCCTGGCAGCACATGGTATCCTCAGCGGGGCCCAGGGCTGGGGCAGGGTGTTACACTGTACCTCTGTTTCCCTGTATTCTGCAGCAGGTGAGGACTAGGGCAGGCTAGACAGTGGTGAATAGCACAGAGCCAAGTGGGCCACCGAAAAGGGCTCAATTTCAGCTGGTCCTTGGAGGATGTGACATGACAGCATGGGACACGCGTGCCAGGAATCCCCTGACCTTTCTGCTGAGGTGCAAGTGCAGAGCCCAGGGGGGGAACAGGCAAGAGGGGGGCTAGGAGCAGGGCTGAACCGGGGGGCTTGGCCGGGCTCAGCTTCACCAGTCCTTGCTGTGGGCTGGCCTGGGGAATTCCCCCGGCTGGGGCCAGGTGACTAAGGCCTGCTTGACAATGCTTGGTCCCCCTCAGCCAGGTTACAGGGGTCAGGTCTCTACCAGAGCCTGTCTTGGCTGGGCAGGATCATAGGGTGAAGCACAGCCAAGGGTTTCTTCTCCCACTGCAGGCCTGGTTCTCTGGCAGGGAGGCAGGGCCGGGGTCTCGCCCCTTTACTTGGGGATGAAGGCTGGTGGGGAAGAGCAGGGCAGGGGTCCTGCCTGTGTACTCTGGGCTGGAGGAGTGACAGTGGAGGGATCTCACCCATGTACTCTGGGCCGGGGGGGAGGGGATCTCACCCGTGTACTCTGGGCCGGG